ATTTATTCTAAACCTGGAACTTAGAAATAATGACCACAGAATACAGATTTTAGCTTTAAATACACCATTAAGAAGTGCTTCTAAAACTATATTACGTGAATAGTTTAAAATTTAAAATGTTTCATTTTCAAGTTAAAATCGTTCAAATTATTTGTGGTAAATAAATGATTGGTCCTGCAGTACATTTGGAAAGGTTTTGTAAATGTTGGTCCTCAGTTCCTCGCAGTACTGTGAGTGTGCTTGATTTTTCGTAAAAAAAAAATACTAATTCTGGTCATCTCCCTGAGATGGGCGTATTTTTTTAATTTTCCCCGGGTGTTAAAAAGCTATGATCCGGCGCTGTATGTAACTAACACCCGACTTTCTGTTTAAAATATTGTTTACCTACTGTTTTTGATTCAATATATTATACATACCATACTAAATCAAAACTGTTCAATTACGCACACAATTTGCTAAAATAAATAAATAATTTTAATAGTATCAATGACATACTGCAAGTTAGTTTGAGTTAAATTATAATTTTATTAAAAACGATGTAATAGATAGGTATGTATACTAAACATATTATATTTTTTAACAAAACAACAAAAATGGCAATGTACCATATTCAAATGGATTTTAATATTGACATCCCTATGATTAATTTTGCTAATTAAATGCAGTAAATAGCCTTGATCTGATCATAACAATGATCGTATATTTATTTTCTTGAAATTAATTAGGTACATTAAGACAGTGTAATTTATTAGTACACCTAATTGTGTTTATAATATGTTTTTATCATTTATCATACAATAAACACACATTTATATATATTATACTTTGGGATTTTCTATTTTTTGTAAATTAATGAACTTCATAAATATCGACTTAATAATCGAATTATCGACGTACACTTTTTTAATTACAAAAAGGGCTGGTGCCCTATGGATCATAATTACACGTTGAACAAAGTGCGCTGATAGTTTAGAAAATCGATTAGGTGTATGGTTTTTTTTGACTTCAAACTTTTGGACAGACCCAAAAGCCACAAAAAAGAGATGTAAAATATTATGCGTACTTACACCGTTGGTGACTGATAGCTAGACACTCAAACTTTTAAACATTCCCGCCAATGCGCCAAGCATTATTTCAATCTTAAAATCATATCACTAAACGAGTTATCATAAACCCTATCCCTTAGAACAATTATCCAACATTCGATTTACAACAGACACGAACAATACTTCCAAAATCGATGACCCCACATTCAGCGAGTCTCATATAGGTCAAATAGAATCTATATTTTTGATTATTCACTTATCTACTCAACTAACGGGGTCCGCAATCCACCGTAGGTGGAGTGCATACCTGATGATATACGCTTCGCATATTGCTTACCTATGTGATTTGATGACTGATAGCTAGACAATAAAATACACATATCGACTCTACACTTTTTAACGATTTCAACAACCAAAAGCAGCTGACAAACGTCTAGAGATCCTGGAGATCGTATCTACTTACAATGTTCGTGACGGATTGCTAGACGCTCCAACTTTTAAACATCTACGCCATGCGCCAAGCCTTATCTCCAATCCATATCACTAATTCTTATCACAAATCCTAAACTTCCATCTTACGACTGTCGCTACTTTTATGATTGAAACGACTCTTATTCAAAAATCGGTACCCCCAAATTCAGCGAGTCTCATGGGCCAACTAGAATCTATATTTTTGATTATTCACTTATCTGCGCAACTAACGGGGTCCGCAATCCACCGCAGGTGGAGTGCATACCTGATAATATACGCTTCTCATATTGCTTACTTATGTTATTTGATGACTGATAGCTAGACAATCAAATACACATATCGGCTATACACTTTTTAACGATTTCAACGACCAAAAGCAGCTGACAAACGTATAGAGATCCTGGAGATCGTATCTACTTACAATGTTCGTGACGGATTGCTAGACGCTCAAACTTTTAAACATTCCCACCAAAGCGCCAAGCCTTATCTCCAATCCATATTTTTGATTATTCACTAATCTACGTAACTAACAGGGTCCGCAATCCACCGCAGGTGTAGTGCATACCTGATAATATACGCTTCTCATATTGCTTACTTATGTGATTTGATGACTGATAGCTAGGCAATCAAATACACATATCAGCTCTACACTTTTTAACGATTTCAACGACCAAAAGCAGCTGACAAACGCATAGAGATCCTGGAGATCGTATCCATTTACAATGTTCGTGATGGATTGCTAGACGCTCAAACTTGTAACATTCCCGCCAAAGCGCCAAGCCTTATCTCCAATCCTTATCACTACTCCTTATCACAAATCCTAAACTTTCGTCTTACAACCTTTGAGACTTTTATAATTCCAACGACGTTGTCTCCAAAATCGGTACACACTCTCAGCGAGTTCCACGGGCTCCGAGTTTCACTTAGAGCTAGTAATATTATAAAATGTCTTAATAAGAAGTAAAAAAACAAAAAAAAATACAACTTTCAAACTTCAGGTAAATCACTTCAGAGTTCATAATTGGCATTTATTAAAGATTCGAAAAATGCATTTAATGGTTGAAATAACAAACCATAATAAGTAATTAAAGTTTATATTTTTTAAACGTTTAACATCCAAAATATATAAATTTTAAATTTGTTCAATATGTTACACTTATTATTATCCTCGTGATCGTGTAAAGCGGAACACGTTTCATACACTCAAAACTCACAATAACTCTATATAGGTATATTAAAAACTTTTTTAATAGTATATAGTTAATAATTATTCTATCTTTCTAACCCAGTTGTGGGAGCCGGGGGTGCTCAACAGTATCACACGGTCCCGACTGTCTAAGTTATGTGATGATTTTCGTATTTTTCCCGTAATTACTTATTGATTAATGTATAATAACTAAATAGGAAGACTTGGTAAATGAACTCTTTGTGTTTTATTACAATTCAATATACTAGATAAGTTTTTTTTATAATAATAATGTGGTTTAATTTATAAGTGATTTGCATATACACAAAATAATAATTGATAGTATGCCTGGTGTACAATAGATTTAAAAATTAACAATAAATTATAACAAGACTATAGTATGGGGGTCTAGGACATTTCGCCGCCACCGTTTCGCCGCCGGACATTTCGCCGCCACCGATTCGACGCCGGACGTTTCGCCGCCGACCGATTCGCCGCCGGACGTTTCGCCGCCGGACATTTCGCCACCACCGTTTCGCCGCCGGACATTTCGCCGCCACCGTTTCGCCGCCACCGATTCGCCGCCACCGTTTCGCCGCTAGACCAAAATTCCGCCCAACACTTCGAATTTTGAAAATATATTCACATTTTGTTTATTATAGCAATTTTATTGCATTTTTAATCATATTAAGCAATTACTTATATATGTGTAGTGTACCTAAATCAAGTTTTAAAAACGAAAGGGGTATATGTCGTAAATTAGTAAAGATAAAATATCTATATTCTATGCTTTGTGAAATGTATAATGTATTAATATATTATACTATAGCCTTTTATCTTATTAAATAATTTATTTCGTTGATTATAGTAAGTCGAGGAGGATCTATATTATATTGTTCAGTCGTCTAGTGGTAGACTAATATATTCATATAGTAAACACTATATATAAAGGAATAGGTTTGATGGAAAAGAATTATATTTTTGACTTAGATAGGTAGGTTCATAAAATAAATAACATTCATAGGTGTAAAAAGATTATATACTTAACATAAAAGTTTTTTTTATAAATAAAGGTTTGTGATACAAAATTAGTTTTGAATACACATGTATAATAATTGTGTACAGTGAATAACTATGTAGGTACTTACTACCTACTTAGTTACCTATATTTATAATTAATTCTGTCAGTCTGTTTATGCTTAGTTTAAATCAGAATGCTTCGATCTGCCGACATCAAAAATGCCTTGTTATCATCCTGGGCACATTATAGTATACCTACCATTTTGAAAAAAAAATAGTAATTGGAACGTATAGTCAGTAAAAATCATAGATGTTTACATTACAGGACAAGCAATTTAAACAGTAACAAGCCACATTTATAATGCATAACTCATCGCAGTGAAGCAGTATCATATCATACTGTTGTATTAATAAATTATATAAGTAGGTATTAGGTGCCTATAATTAATATATTATAATATATGCTCATAAATAAATTATATAGGTGCGTATAAATGTATAATTATGTAACAATCTATAAATGTGATTGATTTGATGTTTAATTGAACGGTATTTTTAATATTTACATATTAGGTACCTAAGTACCTAACTAATTAAATATTTATTTATTAACGGGCTGAGCCCTATACAACAGTTTAAGACATAACACATAAATATATAACTTATTAATTATATATTTTATACCTTTAAACAGGGCCGGCGTTATACGATTTTCACGGGGGGGGTGAGATCAAGTATTTTCCGACTGAAATATAATTTATGCCGACTGTAAAAATGTCAACCCGTAATTTCTTAAAACAAACTATGTGAAGTACCTATAAAAATTCCTGGTTTTTCTATATAATGGGTTGAAATTTATATGGACGGTTTTTGTGAGAAGGGGCCCAAGTCAATTTTCATCGATTTTTACTTTATAGGTTAAAATTGTAGGAAATTTTACGCCGCATCTGATGGTGCCACTGTCGTTGTCACGTGACTACTCATTATCAAATTATATTGTTGTGCGTTTGGGTCCATGTAGTAACTCAAAATAGATTTTTGTGAGAAAGGGTACATGTCAGTAAATTTGTCATATCCTTATGCGTCAAAGGGCAATGTAATTTTGTATGCGTGTGAAAGGGACTAAGTCACGAATGTAAATGCTATTTCATTACATTAACACGTTTTTTATCCAATATTGTGGACGATTTTAATAATTGTTAGTACTTTTTACTGTTTATAAATAATTAGCAATTAGTTTTAAAGTTATTATTCAATATTCAAACCATATTTTCATGATGATGTCTAGTAGAAGCAATCGACTTTTAGCAATGGCAACTAGTAAGTACCTACATATTTATTTCATATTATTAATAAATAATAATTATAATAATTAATGTGTAAAAAAAATTGATGAGCTATAAAAAATAAAACTAGGTATTGTTCAAATGTAGTGCTTACACATAATGTGCACATACTAAGAACAGTAAGAACACAAATGATGTTAAAAATAGCCATGTATGCATAATAAATTATATTCATATTATTTCATACAAACATTCTTATTCTTATACTCAGGGAATTTTTTTCTCCCATATAAAAATTATAATATTAGTTGATTATCTAACTAGAAATTCATGTCCTATATTGCTATGTCATGATGTATCTAACCATCTAGCTAAACTTATTGTATTCCATAATAATGCACAGTATTTTAAAAGTATGATTTTTTTTAATTATTTAGGTGGTGTAAACAATCAAGATAGGAACACAATTAACTATTGTAAAGAAAAAATACCAAAGAAACCATCTGTTTGTCGTAATTTAAATAATAGTTTTTTAACTCAAGTCAATACATCAAAAACCAAACAAGTTCTGGTAATATAAAAGTTGATAAATATTTAGCTCTAAAGTTATGTTTTGTAACTTAATAAAACATTTATAATTTTTGTGTAAAATATTATATATTGATACACAAATACTTAATAAGTACCTATTATGATTTCTTAAGTTATATTAAATTGTACCATAGTAATGACAACCACTTTTAGTTTACCCAGCACAATATTTTAGTTTTTATATTACATTTTTATAGGAATGGTTGAATCAATCAGAATCTACAAGAATTTCTGACGAAACTGTTACAAAAATATATAAAACAATTAAAACAGTGAGTATGAAATCTAATTTTAAATTTCAATATTATTATAGTAGGTACCTATATTATTAACAAAATACTTAATGTAAAAATGTAAAAAAAAAATTGTATTGTAATTGGACAAAAGTAAACTTAGATTATGTAAGTGGTAAAAAAGATAATGCTGAGGTCCTATGTGTGCCATTTTATTAGCACCACATACCATATTAGATGGATATTATAATGTAGGTACTATAATAAAGTTAAATAGATAATATTATAATATACATTAATCTATAATTAAAAATATAAATAAATAATACAAATAATAAATAGGAGTAATAAGTTAAATCTATTAAACATATTACATAATATAATATTTGAAATATTTATATTTTTAACTTTCTATTTTCTATGCATAGAGCAACGATACAGAAGGTGTAGAAAACTTTAAAAAAGATGGTGATTGCTTAAATGAAAATGCAGTTGATGTACCCAAGCAATGTATTATGAACGAGACTGATGAATCTATTTGTTACCAAGAAATTGGTATAACTGATGTTTATGAAAACTTAGACACTGTGGAAAACATTATTAATTCAATTCCAGAAGACCTTTTAGCGTTGGTTCAAGTAAATAAAATAAAAACATTTTTTAGTTTAAAATATATAAATAATAATTATATTATAAACCATATAGAATGAAGATCAATGCTACAGTGAAATTCACCATGAAAATGTAACAAATACAGATGGATTTTATGAACTGAACTCTGAAAAAGATCCAAGTGTAATATTTGGCACCTCTGAATCTGGGAGTGATGAACATAATTTATTGCACACAGATACTGAGGCATTATTTGGTACTCTTGAATCAACAACGGCGATAAATGAAATTAATGGTAATAACAATGAATCTAATTTAAACAAAAGAAAGAAAAAACCGAGCACGAAAGGTGATACAAGACAATATAGGCAGTACAGAAAGGAAAATAGGAATTGTGGAACTAAGTATACAACAAATACAGGGAAAATTATAAAATCTCGGTCCTCTACATCTCTATCTGACTGCCGAACTAAATGCAAGTCAAAAGTAGATGACAATTTAAGAATAAGTCTATTCAATCTTTATTGGTCAATGAATAGTCACGATAGGCGGAGTTCATATATTTCAAGCCTGATTAATAGTACCGTTAAAAAAACAAATAGACCAAGAAGAGATACACCTGAAAAAAAAAACCAAGAAAACTAGTCTATCATTATTCTGTTCCAATAGACGGAAACCTTGTGACTGTATGTAAAGCTTGCTTTTTAAATATTTTTGGTGAAACATCAAAATTTGTTAGAAATATTTGTTTTAAAAAATTAAGTTCACCTGCTAACAGAAGTTCACCAGATAAAAGAGGAAGAATAGCTCCAAATAAAAAATTAAAAATCTCCCGAAGAAATAAAACTGGTAATTGATCACATTAATAATCTACCATCTTATGAGAGCCATTATTGTCGAAAACAGTCAACAAAAAAATATCTTCCAACACATTTCACATTACAAAGAGCATATGATGAGTACAAACTGACCGTTGAAGAACCAGTAAGTAGATCTCTATACGAAAAATATTTTAAATCTTCAGGTTTAAAGGTAAAAAGTCTTAAGAAAGACACCTGCGCACAATGCGATAGATTTAAAATTCAACTTTCTAACAGTTTATCTCATGAACAAAGAATTAATCTTACTGCAGAGAAAAATAAACACCAAGAAGAAGCAGAACAGGCATATGAAATGAAACGAAATGACATTACAACAATGTCAATTGACACATGTGTATTGTCTTTTGATTTACAACAATGCCTCCCCACTCCTCAACTAGAAAATTCTGTATCATTTTACAAAAGGCAGTTGTGGACCTATAATTTGACAATTCATAACTGTAAAACGTCAAACGCTTCTTGTTATGTGTGGTATGAGTCACTGGCCAAAAGAGGAGCTAATGATATTAGTTCATGCCTTTTTAATTATTTAAAAAGTTTACCAGAAGAAATATCTAGTGTAATAATGTATAGTGATTGCTGCCCAGGGCAAAACAAAAACGGTATTGTAATGGCCATGTGCTTATACTTTTTAGAACAACAAGATTCAATTACTACAATTGATCATAAATTTATGGTTCCGGGCCACTCACGTATGGAATGTGACTCTGACCATGGTAAAATTGAAAAGGCACGTAAAAGATATCCATATTCAATAAGCCACCCATATGACTGGATGCAGTTTATTCGTTGGGCTGGGAAAGGAAAATTTGTAGTTAATGAAATAAATCAAGATAACTTTTTTGACTTTAATGTTTTACTAAAAAAAAAATACCAAATGAGAAAAAAAAATGAGGATGGTGACAAATTTATATTTCGTGAAGTTAAATGGTTTCGTTATACAAAGGAAAACAAAAATGTTGTATTGTATAAAACTTCACTTGATCAAAATGAGCCTTTTAAAACATTAGATATGTCTCGAAGAAAATCTATTTCTATGGATCTGCCAAAAGCTTATACTGATACATTAGAAATAACAGAAGAAAAAAAATCTGATCTTTTATCTCTTTTAAGTTTTATTCCAGAAGTGTTCCATAGTTTCTACCAGAACCTTAAAACATCAAAAGACATAAGTGACCATATTGTTTCTGAAGATAGTGACTGATTAAATTTTTATTATTAATAACATTTTATTATTTTATAAAATACCTAATAATTATAATTTTGATTGTGCAATAAAAAAAAGTTCAATAAGATATTACCTATTAATTTATATTGTTAGGTATAATTTTATTTAAATGCTATTGTGTTAAGTATTTAAAAAATATTAATAATATATATTGTTTTAATTTGAAATTTGTTTAATTCAAATTGTTTTTCATAAAATGTTAATAGTTTTATACATGGTAATGTTAACATAATTTTAAGTCAATATTTTGTGTTTTTATAATATCATTATGCTTGTACCTAAGTATTTATTTTAAATTTATCATTATTATTTTTTTTTTTTTTTTGAAAATACTTAATTATTATAATTTTGATTGTGCAATAAGAAAAAGTTCAATAAGATATTACCTATTAATTTATATTGTTAAGTATAATTTTATTTAAATGCAATTGTGTTACAAGTATTTAAAAAATATTAACAATATTTTTTGTTTCAATTTTAAATTTGTTTAATTCATGTCGTTTTTCATAATATGTTAATAATTTTATACATGGTAACATTAACATATCTTTAAGTCAACATTTTGTGTTTTTATAATATTATAATTATTCAACCTAAGTACATAATATTTTATATTTATCAATAATTTTTGTTTTAGTTTGTAAATGTTTTTTAAAGTTATTATATTCATGTATTATAAAATTCTACATTTCTTTCTGAATAAAAATACTTAATTACATGATTTATTGCATACATTTTATTATTATTTGTTATTTACCTAATAATTAGAACATATATTTTTATTCTAATAAAATAATTTTAAGTGCTTAATATAACATTATACATACCTAATATAAACTTTATTATTTATTGAATGTACTTATTACAATTTACAATATTAGAAATATATTGTCATATTTTAAAATAAATAAACTTCATAGTGAGAAAGGTTACAAGTCAAAAGTATAATAATTATTTTAGTGTCAAAGGTATCAAGTCAATTAAAATTACTAAATTTTGCTTAAATATTAAAAGTGATTGAAATAATCTCACTAAATTGTAATAAAGTATTTAAACATACATATGTGGTAAAAATAATATCAATAAAAAAGACAAAAATTAGTTTATTCCTTCTCCTGAAAAGTAACAATTTTTGACTTGGGCCCCTTCTCACTAAAACCGTCCAACTATTCTTTAAAATCACTGAAAAATGTGTATCAGCTTAAAATTGTTTGGGCCCCTTTCATTTTGGTATTTGAAGGGGCCCCGGGGCTTCCGCCCCGGCTAGACCCCCCCTTAATCCGGCCTTGATCTTGGAATTGTTTTGTGTTTGATCTTCAAATGTAAAATTTTTTTAAATTTTTAAATTTAATTCTTTTTGAATTTGTTTAATATCCATTTATTATGCAAAATTAAATTAAAACATAATCATTCATCGATATATACAATTTTATTACCTTTATTGTCATAGATTAAATTTTTTATTAAGTCAATTGCTATGAAACCATATGTTTTTATTTTATGATATTTTTTACAATAAGATCTATTAATTTCTTTAAATTTTTCCAAAGCTACATCTTCAATTATCAAATCAGACCATATTTTTTTCAATATAATAATTTGATTGATCAAAAACAATTAAAACATTCAAATTATTTCTTATTGTTTTTATATCTACTGAAGTATAACTTTGTGTTAAATAAATAACACTAATATTCTTTGATCTCGATCTTATAAAATATTCAATTATCATGTCTTGTTTTTCTTTTAGAAAATCATCAAAAATCACTAAACTATTTGGTTCACAATCATGTAGAGATATTATTTCATCATTAGAAAAATGTGTGGTTATAGAAGGTATATCATCAAATATTTTTTTTATTTTTTTATTGACTGGTTGATCAATATTTTATGTAAAAATATATAGATTTGAATAAGGAATCCAATAATTTATAATCAGATTATACAACAAGGTTGTTTTACCACAACCAGATGGTCCTATAATTAAAACACGTGAAGGTAATTCAAATAAACATTGTTTTTTATTTTCATCTTCAATAAAAAAATTTACATTACTTTATCCATTTATAAAAAAAAAAAATATATATATTTGGTAATATAAATAAGAAATGGAAAATATTTTAAGTAAGTATGATAATTATATAATAAACTAGCTGATCCCGTGCACTTCGTTTCCCGTTAAATGTACAAATTCTTATGACTCAAACTTTGTTCAATTCGTTATTTAGTTATTTAACATTCGGTGTATGGTGTTAACGAATGACGGCAACGAATAATTATTATTATAATAGCTTTAAAACCCATGGCAACAATTTATAAACAAAAATATCCACCGGAAATCTCAACATTCCCGTTTGAGCACCTCCCCGAAATAGGCCTACCGGGTCCGATTATGAATCTAAACCATTCAAGGGCGCAATCAAGCACACACAAAAATTTCATCAAAATCGGTGAAGCCGTTTAGGAGAAGTTCGCTTACAAACACTTTCAATTATTATTACTATTATATTATATTTTTATTTTTATTTTATCTGCTAGAGGGCGCCACCGGTGTAACTCAGTTTTTGTCTCTAAATCTCTAACTCACATGAGTTAGGTCCATAATTTATGCTATAAACCCGCTCCCCGACATTCTCTATCATTTAAAAAAAATTCGAGCAAAATCGGCCCAGCCGTTCTCAACTGATGCAATTTCGAATTTTTTGTCTCCATTTTTATATATATAGATAGTCAATATGAAAGTTAAATACCTCAAATTACAACAGAATTAATTAAATCTAACCGAAATACAATAGTTATAGTAGATGGTAAAGATAAATTTCTGAATATTAAAAATTCAAAACTTTATTTATCATTTGAATATGTACAAGAAGATGGTTCTAAATATCCAGCAAAATCTAATGTTATGATATCTGATAATGGTGGAGCATTTTTGTTTGAAAAATTACAATTAAATTAAATAATAAAATTATAGATGAAAGTGAGAATACTGGAAGAGTAAGTACAGTAAAAGGTTATATGAGTTATGCCGTTGATGGAAATGGTCCTACACAAAATTCAGGATTTGAATCTACATCTGAAGGGGGAGGAAGTGTCGAACTCATCATTCCTTTATCACACTTTGGTTTAGGATCAATGAAAGATATAAAAAGTCCTCTTTACAATTTATGCTAGATTTGAAATAATTTTTACGAGAAACACTGATGATGATGCGTTGATTCTAGAAACAAACATTGAAGCTACAGCAGATACAAAAAATATTAAAGCAAAACGTGGTAAAATTAATATTTTAGAATTAAAAGTTCAAATGCAAAATATAGAATATGATGAAATAACAAAAATTCAAATAGTTGATGAATTAATTAAGAATCCATGTATTTTAGCTTTTAAAAAATGGCAATGTATTAAAGTAAGAAATCTTACTGGAAAAAAGATAAGATTCGATTTAACAAATAAATATCGAAATAATAAACATCCATTGTTTGGTGTTGTTTATTTTCAAAAAAAACGGATTAGACAATCAAGAAAGTAATGCTTGTTTTTTTGATCATTGTGATGTTGTAAATTATTCTTTTGAAGTAAATGGAAAAAAATATCCTAATGAATTACAAAATCAAGATTTTAATAATATAAAATGTTGTCAATCATATGAAGATCATATGAGTTATAAAAAAACCTATTATAAATCACATGAAGAAAATCCATTAATGTATTTAGATAAATTACAATTTAGACAAAAGAGACCATTTTTTGTTGTTAACATGACTAGACACCCTAATCAAATTGCAATCTCCAACTGTACAGTAATTTTAAACTTAGATTTCAGTCAATATTTACCTGATAAAATAATTTGTTATATTTGTTTAATTTCTAGTGCAGTGTATACGTTTGATATTGAAAGAGAAATAGTTGATGAAAGTTTTTAAATATATTAAAAAATCGTTCCCTACTTTAATTTTTCAAGATATTTTATCTTGAAAAAAAGTTTTTAGTATTTATTTTTTTATTAGATCAAGAACACCAATAAATTCTTCATCAAAATTAACAATATTACCTTTCAAATCTAAAATATAAATTTCTATTTTTTGAAACCGATTTTTACTCACTGGTCTATATATCATTTTAAGAGGTTCATTCAAAGCATTATTAGAATTATATTGAAATACAAATAAAACTTCATCATAATGAGATACCTTATCAATATTATGTGTAATAGATTCTTCAATTATATTACAATGTACTTCTAATATTTTGTTGTTATTATTTAATGATGAATTTTCTCCATAATGTGTATATATTGTATCAATCCCTCCTAAACTTAAATTTAAATCTTTATCAAATGAAAAATAATCTTTTGTTGTTATTTTAATATAATTACCATTATTTTTAAACTTCATAATCGAATTGAATAAGCTATTTAAATGCTCAATTGAATAATTTCCTTTTAATTCTGTTTTACTATTTTCATTAGAAATAATGCCATTTATTTCTTTTAAGAAACCTTGAGTGTAAAATGTTGGAGTTTTTATTTCTATTACCGTATAAGCAATATCTGGTGGTGTATACTCAATACCTAATTCTATTTCCTTCCCTTTAGGCCATGTTTTATTAATAGGGATTAGACGTTTTATAAAATTAAAGCCTAAACAATTTGATAAATACTCATCAAAGCACAGACCAATTGAAGCAGTTATTTTTAATAAATTTTTATTTATTTCAAGATTTATTTTAGGAAAATTTTCCAAAAATTTAGTTCCGATGAATTAAATAAATTTTCAATTTCGCCTATTGAATAAATACCAATAAATATTGTACCTAGTGGGATTTGACCATTTCGACCTAATCTAAATTCACATTCTTTTTCAATATTTATGTAATATTCACCATCAATAGGATAGTACATTTTTTTCTCACCTGTCATTGAAAAATCTATATTACCATTAAAACCTAAATATTTTTTTAATTTTTCATCTAAT